TTGATCATATTATTATTAATATTATTATTTTTAGTATGTTTAATAATTTTAATATCTAGTTTTATTTCTGCATTTTTCAGACGAAATGAGTAACAAAGAAACCCCACTAAGTACCATGCAGCATACTAGGGTTAGTATCAATTTAAATGAAAAAAATAAAAATATGTAATAGAATTTTCTCTAATTTAATCAAGAAAACCAATAAACACAATAAGTCATTGGCATGAAGTTGGTTCGTGTTTTTACAAATTTTAGAATTGTTTATTCTCAAAGTATTATAATGTAAAGATAGTTATTTCAGAGGTGTACGCATTTTTAGTACTGCGGTCTACTGTGGGCGGTAAAGTAAACACAAGATGAATGTCACAGCCTTACATGGGAACCATCTTTCACATAAAAAATCAATGGAATATTCTGGTCATATGAAACTATGATGTGAGTTATCAAAATTTTAAAAATTAAATGCTTTTATCCTCCTCGGATATTAGAGTAACACTGATGCATCTATTCTTGTTTAAAAACACAGCCCAGAGAGAGAACTGATTTCAATATATACGCAGTAAAAAGGCTGTAAGGCAAGCCAAAAGAAAGTTTGAACGAAGCATAGCTGATAATGGTAACACGAGACCCTTTAATTCGTACATTAAAAGTAGAACTAAGCCAAAAGTAGGAGTTGGACCTCTAAAAGTCAATAATGTAACTATCAGCGATAACAAAGGAGTAGCTGCAGAATTAAACACAGCTTTTTGTAAGGTTTTTACTGTGGAGAATGAAAATAACATCCCAGTTTTTGAACCCCTTCCAGTTAATAGTAAAATATCCAGTGTATCATTCAGTAGAGGTCAAGTTAGGGATAAAATTATAAAACTCAAACCCGGAACAGCCCAAGGTCCTGATGGTATCCCTGCTAGGGTTTTAAAAGACAACTGTGACTCGCTCTGTGTTCCTTTATCTATTATTTTCAATAAATCCATAGACGCAAGATCCAAGAGTAAGCCGGAAAATTATCGACCTGTCTCCCTAACCTCGATTTGCTGCAAACTCATGGAGTCAATAATCAGGGATCAAGTTGTCACCCACCTTGAGTGAGATCAACTATTTAATCAAGGCCTCCCAGCATGGGTTCATGAAGAACAAATCATGCACAACCAATTTATTGGAATTCCTGAAAGCAATTACCAAAATCATAGATGAAGGGGACCCAAACATCTACTTTTTTCTCTACAGAGGTTTGGTCCATCACCATCACTGAATTTTAAATCAGTTGGTGAGGGTTAGGAAACCTCACATATCTTTCATCCCTGGTCTGACTGTTATCATCCCTGGATGAAAAACTTTGTTGAGATGAACTCCTGTTGGTATTCTGGATTGATTGTGCTGATCTATTGAGCTGAACTAAGTTTGTTCCAGATAGAACTGGTTACGTATAAAGCTTGAGCTCCTGGGTACATATGTGGATTTTTCTCCATTGTATATGTTTCTCCTATCTTGAACAAACACCTTCCCGGTTCTGAACCTCATCTTTATCCATTACGCCATTCCTTCTCTCATCTTCTTTCCTTAGCCTTTCCTCACCCTTCCTCTGTCTCTGGGTAATGTTTAGTACTATGCTGATGTGGCTGTAGTTGGAGTTGGTCAGGTTTCTGGCTGAGTCCATGATGGCCTCCTTCTCAGCCATGTTCTTCAAGGATAATATGACGGGCCCAGACTTGCCATTTTCCGGTCTTTTCCCTGCTCTGTAGATGAACTTGATTCTAAATAAATTGAAATTCTAAACATTGTGCTCCTAGCAAATCGGTCGAGGAGTTCCTTAGTTATGATCGGACAAACAAACAAACAAACAGACAGACAGACAAACAGAGATTACAACTTTATAAATAGAGATACAATAAATTATTTAGGACTTATTTAGTCGGACATCTATTAACAGAGCATGCCCGAATTACAGAGGTACGTTTTAAAGCTCAGTTTGATCCATAATGGGGAAGATATCTTCGTTTTTATAGCTTGAAAAGTGTTGAATCTTCACTATTTCTCATAATTGTTTCTGATGTAGAAATACGCATAAGTCTTTTTTAAAAGAGAATCCAAAATTGAATATAAACAATTGTTTTTCACTCTTGAGTTCGGAAAACGCTTGCAGAGTCATTAAATAAATGTTTAATATTTAACCAAGTAAGTTGGTTGTTCCCAACGAACAATATTCAAGTTTAAGTCGAATTAATTTAAGAATTTTTACTTCCAGTAGTTATCAACTTTAACTCGTAAACAGTCGTACCAGAACTCGACTTAAAGATGAGATTTTATACTCCTTTTGGACGAGTTTTTATACAACCTATGGACGAGATTTTTTAAATCGGCAAAAAGTCGACTTTTTTCCAAGTTTTTGTCTTGTTCAAAACTTGGATGAAAAAAGTGACTTTTTTAAGACTTTTTGTTCCTTGTTTTGGGGACTAAGACTTTTATCCGACTTTAAGTCGACTTTTTCTAAACAAGTTTTTCATCCCAGTTCTGTTTGCTGGGTTGCATAGTTTGGCGTAAAATTAAAACTGGTTAAACTTGTGATCACAATTTTAACCTATTTCATATGTGTCTAGATTGGAGTGGAGTTTCGAGTTCATACGCTAGAGAAATGGAGTTGAAATACTGATGACTCCTTCATAATGAATTATTCCACTGCATAGTACATATTTTATTTTTGTTTAAGTTTTTCATTATCCTTATTTTTATTCTTGATCTTGATCTTGATCTTGATCTTGATCTTGATCTTGATCTTGATCTTGATCTTGATCTTGATCTNGAGTCAATAATCAGGGATCAAGTTGTCACCCACCTTGAGTGAGATCAACTATTTAATCAAGGCCTCCCAGCATGGGTTCATGAAGAACAAATCATGCACAACCAATTTATTGGAATTCCTGAAAGCAATTACCAAAATCATAGATGAAGGGGACCCAAACATCTACTTTTTTCTCTACAGAGGTTTGGTCCATCACCATCACTGAATTTTAAATCAGTTGGTGAGGGTTAGGAAACCTCACATATCTTTCATCCCTGGTCTGACTGTTATCATCCCTGGATGAAAAACTTTGTTGAGATGAACTCCTGTTGGTATTCTGGATTGATTGTGCTGATCTATTGAGCTGAACTAAGTTTGTTCCAGATAGAACTGGTTACGTATAAAGCTTGAGCTCCTGGGTACATATGTGGATTTTTCTCCATTGTATATGTTTCTCCTATCTTGAACAAACACCTTCCCGGTTCTGAACCTCATCTTTATCCATTACGCCATTCCTTCTCTCATCTTCTTTCCTTAGCCTTTCCTCACCCTTCCTCTGTCTCTGGGTAATGTTTAGTACTATGCTGATGTGGCTGTAGTTGGAGTTGGTCAGGTTTCTGGCTGAGTCCATGATGGCCTCCTTCTCAGCCATGTTCTTCAAGGATAATATGACGGGCCCAGACTTGCCATTTTCCGGTCTTTTCCCTGCTCTGTAGATGAACTTGATTCTAAATAAATTGAAATTCTAAACATTGTGCTCCTTATGCTGACAACCTCAGGCCAAAGATTCCGATGATTCGGGTATCTGGTGTATTACCAGATACTTTTTCCCGAGCTATGCTCTCACGGAGTCAAATACAACATCATTATTGCTTTCAACACTACAGAAGTCATCTATCTTTTTTTTAGTACGGCTCAGTCTCCTCTCCTGGTTGCTGATATCCTCCTTGTTCTCCTCATTATCCTTCCTCATGTCTTTGACTATCAGGTGATAGGCAATATCCGGTGACATGGAAACGCCTCAACACAGAAATGACTCAACACGGAAACGGATCAAAAATTATTTTTGAAGAATTTCCGTTTTTTCAGAAATTCGAGGAAATCCCTCAAAAGTTCAGAATTGTTGAGGGATTTCCGAATATTTCATATCAATATGAGGAATATCAACAATATGAGGAAACGGACCTAAAATTTGAGGAAACAGCTCAACAAAATGAGATTTTTAAAAATTTTGAAAAATAGCGGAAATGGATCAAAAATATGAGGAAACGGACCTAAAATTTGAGGAAACCGATCAACAAATTGAGATTTTTAAAGTTTTTGAAAAAAGCGGAAACGGATCAAAAATATGAGGAAACGGATCTAAAATTTTCGGAAACCGATCAAAAATATGAGGAAACAGATCAATTTTAAAGTTTTTGAAAAAAGCGGAAACGGATCAAAAAAATGAGGAAACGGACCAAAAATATTGGGAATCCCCTCAAAAATATTGGGAAATCCCTCGAAAATATTTGAATAAATCTGGGAAATCGATCAAAAAAAAAGAGGAAACTCTTCAAAATTTGAATTTAGAAGGATTTCCGAAAAAATTTGAAGAAATCGCGGAAACACCTCAAAAAACCTACTTTTGAGGGGTTTCCGCTTATTTTTGATCCGTGACCGTTTCCGTGTTAAGGCATTTCCGTGTTGAGGCGTTTCCATGTCACCTCAATATCCTCCCTTACTTTCTTTGAAACTGCTATGCTAGTCTTGCAGGTCCAACTATTTCCTGGCATTTCCATGAACTTGAGATGCTCACTGGAGACATCAACACATCACACAGTAGCAGCCTCTAATTTTGCCAGTTTTTTGTTACATTTTTCCACAAGTGGAGCATGGACCGCAGCTAATTTATGCTTGAATCACTTCTTAAAGAGGTTTCAGATAAGAATGGCCGTCCAGGGTGCGAGCGTGCACTGGTCATAATTATCAATTTATGTTAACAGAAACATCAGCACTCCCCTTTGATTTTTAACGAACACTCCCTTTAATGTTTTTTTATATATGGTTTGAGTTTTTAACAACTATTGTTTAGGATCGGAAGAGGATAATGGACCGTCGGAAGATCCAAAAGAAGATGCATCCCAATGTGAGTTTGAATATTGCTTTATTGCAAAAGTGGCGATAGATTTTACAAAAACTGATATTGCCAACCTTATCCCTCAAGATCCTGAAGTTCAAATATTCATGCTAGGAGAAGAACAAAAAAGGTTCGAATAAAAACCTTGATCCTGAGCAGGTTTGGTGTAATATTATCGACATCATTCATCAGCAGAAAATATCTGGTGATAAGAACGACTGCGTGAAGGAACAGAGTTCTATTGGACCTGTTATAAGGCTGTGCTCTTGTAGAACTAGACCCTACACCACCTCATCAAGAGATCATTTCTGTCAATCATTCGACAGAGGGATAGTGGTTCCTCAGGTCCAGAGGTTTAAAGGGGATATCTACAAAACCTGGATTATTCCTCCATCTTCCTATAGCAGTTAAACAAGAATTATAAAAGATTAACTGCTACTGTTTAAGAAAGAAGATACAAAGATTTTTTAATTCTTACATTTTTGCCACTTAAAGTTGTAGACCTTAGATATTTAAACTTTGAATTCTGTTAGCTCAAATAATGTAAGTATGAAATATCAAAGGTTTATACAACCAGGCTGCAAAGATGTAGGGATTAGAAAATATGAGTTTGTGGTTAAAACTCAATTCCCAAGAGTTACTTCAGACAATTTTTAAATAGGCGAGCAATACCAAAAATCAACTTCAGATGAAAGTTCTTGTAATTTTCTAATCATTTTTTTTCAGAAGTATGGCCAAAAACAATATTCCGAAAGATCCCAGTGATCATCAGTTGTCTGCAATGCATACTGGCCTCGAGTCTATGGTTAGTATATTAGCATTTAGATCAAAGACGTATTCAGAAATTTGTTCGGGGTGGCTTAATTTGTTTTCTTTCCAGAGGGGGGGGGGGCTCAGCATCCGTTTGTGCCCAAAAAACTCTAACATATTTATCACTGGGCTAGGGAGGGGCTGAGCCCCCATAGCCCCCTGGATACGCCTCTGATTTATTTCTTTAATAATTTAGTGAATATTATTCATTTTTCAGCGACGATGGGCATGTGTCTAGTTTTGGGTCATTGATCCAGGACCAGTACCATTATGCAGGTTAAATTAATGTTTATAACACTAGACATAAAATGTCAAGTCAAAGCATACAAATTTGTTGGCTGAAATGCCGCCGTCAAAATTACCTTTTCACAATAAATTAAGTATATGCCTTCTTAGCTTTTGAAAAGATAAAGGAACTGATGTCTCACCACGAACTCTTATTTTAAAGGAATTGAGTCTTTGCCATAAATTATAATCTCTATATCTTCGCAACTCAATCTCGTAGACCTTAGATATTTTAAATTAATAATTCTGTTAGATATAATGATAGAAATTTGAAATATCAAGGTTGTACAGATATTATGATTAGAAAATTTGAGTTTGTGGCCAGGCCAAGACTCAATTCCTTTATCCTTTGGGACGCTCAGAAAGTCTTACAATCTTACTTACAGTGAAAGTTTTGACCCTTAAACGTTATATACTACTGGGACTCAAATTTGAGACTTACTAGGGTAAAAACACTCCCCTGTTTTATGACGCCCTTCTTTTTAAGAAGAATATTATTATACGATAAAAAAAAATATTTTAGGCCCCGGTAATTTAGACTATCAAGCCACGGACAGTTTACAACAAGACGACCCACACTACCTGGAAAATCCTGAAAATCCAACCTTTTTTACATTACAGCCCATAGTTAATGTTCAACAGTTCGATCAGAGCTTTATTATTACAACTGATGTTACACAACCCATTGGCAATGTTCAACAACTCAATCAGAACTTTATTGATACAACTGATGTTACACAATCCATTGGCAATGTTCAACAATTCAATCAGAACTTTATCAATACAACTGATGTTACACAACCCATTGGCAATGTTCAACAATTCAATCAGAACTTTATTGATACAACTGATGTTACACAACCCATTGGCAATGTTCAACAATTCAATCAGAACTTTATCAATACAACTGATGTTGCACAACCCATTGGCAATGTTCAACAATTCAATCAGTGCTTTATCAATGAAGTTGGAATTGATCAGGGTCAAGCTGTTCAAGGATTATCTACAGTATACTCAGTCTGGGGTAACAACTCACCTAATGCATCAGCCAAACCATTTACCTGCCAACCGAAAGAAAAAACTGAAAATGCAAAACGCCTTGAGAAATGTAGGCTTAAAAAGTAAGTTTAGCTAATTTCATTGTTTTTACATTTATTTGTTGACAAGTTCTTACAGTTCAATATATTTTCTAGGAAAACGGAGGATATGAATGTAGTTTCCACTGTGTTCAGGTATTTTTAACAAACAAAATTTTAGAATATTCTTAAAATAGTGTGTAATGTGCAATATTTTCTATGTTACTATTACTTTATTGCGAATTCATTAATTTTTTTTATGAATGATTGATTCTGAATATTGGGACGCCTTCTTGGCATATTACACTAGTCAGCACTAGAGTGTATTATAAGTACACTATATTGTATTCTAATTTTGTGTTAAATCAAGTTGTAACCGTGTATTTTATAGTCTAAATATATTTGGGGAATAAAATCCTGTTTTTTTTATGTTTTGTGTTTAAGCAATGATATTTTCTAGAGAGTAAAATCAGCGGTATCGGTTGAAAGAGCGGTTGAGCCATATCTTAGACTAAGATTTAAATTTTTTTTTTCCTTGCGCATTAAATGTTGGAGTAATAAGTTAACTTTTAAGCTACTGCTTGCTAAAACAATTTGTTCCATAACAGCATCAAGTACACATAAGATTGCTTAAAGATCGTCTTCCTATTCCACATTTTTATGGGTTTCACTAGTTTTTCCGAAGAACCGTTCAGAACCTGATATGAATTGCTGTGAAATGAATTTTTAAAAGTTTTGTGTAAAATTGAAAATTAATTGGTTTTAGAGTTATGTAATTTTTTGTAAACTTTATCGGCTGTTTTGGATTTCTTGAAAAACCGCTGATTCTTAAGTAGTTGTTTGATATTATTTTTTTGTGTTTCTTTGAACCGCCTTATAAATCCGTGAACACTAAAGATAAAGAATCAATATGTATATTTATAAAGTTGTAATCTCTATTTGTTTGTCCGATCATAACTCAAGAACCCTTCGACCGATTTGCCTCATATTTTGATTTAGGAACTCGGAAGAACCACGGGAATGTTCTTATCTTGGTTTTTAGATTCTAAGTTGAGTGGGTCGACTTTTAGCGAAAATGTTGTTTCCCGGTAAAATCGACCGAGTGCGGCTAAAGGTAACTATGAGTACTCTGGGCAACGCTGGGTTCCTAAAATAATGTATAAATAAAGTTGCAATCTCTGTTTGTCTGTCCGATCATATCTCAGGAACCCATTGACTGATTTGCCTAAAATGTTAACTGAGGAACTTGTTAGAACCATGGGAATTTTCTTAGCTTGGTTTAACATGTCTAGGTTGAGTTCAGATTGGAATATTTAAAGAAAAGTTTAGCTTCCAGGCATAGCTAGGTTTCCAATCTTGCACATTATATAGCCACAGATGCAGAGTCCTTAAGATAGATTACAATCATAGAGAAATAAAAGGAAAAGTTCATGCTTTTATAAACATAAACAAACAATTGAACTGGAATGTTCTGCAGAGCCCAAAACTTAAGACAGGGTATCGTTATTAAAACCAGTTCTAAAACCCGGGTTTTATGAACGGGGTTAGGGAGTTTTGTGAAAATAAATATTTTTGTTATGAAATATTATATAATTCAGTTTGTTTATGTTTTCCATTTTTTCGAATCTCTTAAAACAAAATCTACACAAGTGTTAAGACCCCAAAAAGGAAACTCAGGAGTCTCGTTCAATGATACTCTTTTAAATTTCAGGCTCAGTACTCAATCCTATTTACAATCCATATTAAGTGTCTATTCAACTATCTATCTAATATTCAATTATCTACATTTAACCACCCACCAAGAAATATGATTACCATACATCAAGGAGTATGAAATAGAAGGGAGATACAACTGATGCGGCCCGCTTTCCCTATGATACCAGGGGGCGTCTCAAAGATCAGCTCGCTAACGTACAGCTAACATATCAGAGACTCAGATACAGCTAACATATCAGAGACTCAAAGATCAGCTCGCTAATGTACAGCTAACATATCAGAGACTCAGATACAGCTAACATATCAGAGACTCAAAGAGCAGCTCGGTAATGTACAGTTAACATATCAGAGACTCAAGAACAGCTAACATATCAGAGACTCAAAGAACAGCACGGTATTGTACAGCTAACATATCAGAGACTCAAGTACAGCTAACATATCAGAGACTCAAAGAGCAGCTCGGTAATGGACAGCTAACATATCATAGACTCAAGTACAGCTAAAATATCAGAGACTCAAAGAGCAGCTCGGTAATGTACAGCTAACATATCATAGACTTAAGTACAGCTAACACATCAGATACTCAAGGAGCAGCTCAATAATATACAGCTAACTTAACAGGGACTCTAGGAGCAGCTGGATTCAAGAGACCCTAGAAGCAGCTACAGTAGCATCCAGGGTCACAGTGTATGAGATACCGAACTGGAGGAGCTAAACAAGCGATCTAGTTGAGGGAGCTGCTTAATTACATCAGAGTTATTAATATCTGAACACAATGTAATAAGATAGAATTGAACTTAAACAAATATATTTGTATCAATAAAATATAAACTAATAAATGAATCCTATTTATTCATACTCTGAGAGATAGACATAGAACTATTGAACTATATGAACTATAAGAATAACTAGAAAGGGACAGTTTATGAAATTAGTACTGGGATCGAAAGTGAAGCCTTTGCATTAACCCTTTTCAGAGGAGGGGCAAATGGTGGACCTTGACGCCCCAAGGATTTATATTCGGAATTTAAATTATATTAATTACAACTTTTTTCATTACAGTGCGACTGGCTTTCTCATGCCAGACCAGCGCGCCATTTCCCTTCCCTTTACTCTTATTCTCTGGATTATACATAATTTGCAGACGGGTACTCCATTGTATAAGAAATATTCAGAATAGGTTATTGTATACGCGGTAATTGTACAGCAGACAAATATTTCTTATTCAAATGAAGTACCGTCTGCATTCACTTACAAATTTGAGGTCAGGAACAGTCGACAGTTAAGAAGTAGAAATAAATGAAAAAGGAAAGAAATGATTAAACTAAATTTTTCCATATTACCTGTAAACAATTTTTAAAAATAATTAATTGTAAAAAAAACTTCCTAACGTATAATTTAAGTGAAAATGGTAAATATGTTGTTTTATTTTGTCCATAAAAAGAAGTTTGTTCCTTATAAAATGAGGACTCAAAAAAAATGGAATCGAACATAATTCATTTTAGAGACGAGTTAATGTGCTTGTTTCATGCAAAGATGTCACTGCCTGATTTACAACCGTGCACTTAAAACCTTTATCTGATCAATGATGTGAACGATATCTTCGTTTTTCTAAATTCTGGTTATTTCTTTATGTTTTCCTGCAGAAGAAATGCGCAAGTCACTTTTGTATATAGAGAAACTATAATTGTAAATAATCAGTTTTCAAATAATAAACATTGATATCTAATTTATTTTTGATCAAACAAAACTCTGAAGGGTACCATTGGGCAATGGGCATTGCAATTTTTGCGGAGGGTCATTTGAAATTACGCTTAAAGGATCCCTTTAAGAACGTTTTTCATTAATAAGATAAGTGTGATCCTTAGTTTCCACTTAATTGTGCAATGTTCATATTTCAAATAGGTAAAGAGACCAAAGAGAATAGAATATCTATTAGAGTGGAATTTACTAGAAAAAAGTGTAAAACGGCCATTTTGTTCCAAGGCATGGATTAACTACGGTGGTCGGCGTTTATATCAATACAATGATGACGACTTCTTACTTTACTAAGCTTTAATTTTTACAAGCTTTTATTTTATGTATAAATATATATACTTTGCTGTCTGTCTGTCCGTTTGTATCATCAACGTCAGAACGGCTGAGACTATTGGGCCCAAATTTTGTGTGGGACCTCACATGATCCTAGGTCAGGTTTACGGATGCTCAAAATTACAAAAATTGTGTTTAAAATTTTTGAATTTTTGGTTAAAATTTAAAAATGCGTGAAAGATTATTATTAAACCCGCAAACTTTTACTGTTTTTGTTTTATATTGTACAAAGAGAAGAAGCTCAGTGCTCACTGATAAAGTCACAATTAAAAGTTAAAATAGAAAGCCTTGTAATGTATTTGAAAGGAAGTTTATTTGTTTTTGAAATATTATTGGGTTTATGACATTTTTAATTTATAAATCATCAATGCACATTTTCGTGGTTTTTCGAGTTCCCCAATCAAAATTATGTAAATCGGTCCAGGGGTTCCTAAGTCATGATATTAAAATTCTCCCAACCCCAAGAACAAAAACTGGGAACATTAATAAAAAACGGAATGAATTGAGAAAAAGGGTAGATTAAACACTCCTGTATGCCGAGTCCATTAGCGCCTGATCCAATCAGGGTTCAATCATGTGTTTGGTGCCAGGTCTGAACCAATAGAAATTGCATGGCGGTAATATCTATCTTTCTATCTAGCTTATTAGAGATTAGAGAGATTAGAGATAAATCCTCATATCGGCGCTTTATTAGTAAATGGAAATATTTACTTCTACTGAAACTGTAGTGTAAAAAGTTTTTGATTTGTAAAATAGCTTAGGTGAAANCGTTCTACCGGCTATGTAAGGTAGTTGAACATACAGTGTTGTGGAAACCTTCTTTCGGATTCTTTTGGGAAATATAAAACTTTTTAAAGATTTGTAAATCCTGACTTTGAGCGCAAATTCGACGTTCAAAACTCCTACTTTGGGGGTGGATACGTTTTCAGAATTAGTTTTTTTTAATTATTAACTAACGACGACATAAAATGTTAAAAAGTTCTACAATAAACTACAGACTTCATGTATAGGAACATGTTGAGAAAATAAAAATTAATCTTATTATCGAAAATAAGTAATCTTGTTTAATTATTAGTTTCTATTATCGCATTATTCTGGTTTCTCGTTATTCACAAAGATGTTCGCAGATTTTCTAGAATTATTATTGAAAAGACGACATTTGAAGAATTTGAAGAAATCTGCGAATACATTCAAAGAAAATTAGAAATTCAATATAATAATGAAAACGAAATAATCGATTTTAGCATTGAGTTATTGACAAATTTCTTTTGAGAAATATGTTCCTAACTATCCAATTAGATTACTTTATAATTTTTTACTTTATTTTTCGTTGTCGTTATTTAATAATTAAAAAAAACTAATTCTG